TGAAAGAAACACAATCATACAAGTGATGATTTGTCTTGAAAGAAGTGTATTTGGGTAATGCTGTACAACAATGGCCAGCAGGTCCACCTACCTTAGAAGTGTCAAACTGTGTACTAGAGGACAGCCAACAGATGAGGAAAATTCTATTACTATTATTAATCTGTTCTGCTAAACTGGGTAGGGGTTTATTCTCTCTGTATTTAGCCCTGTGCAGCATACTGACTGGAATGCAGCCCCATTCCCTGGCACACATATGCCAAGCAAACTTTGAATTTACAGCCAAGCAACCACTGGGCTCATTCCATATAGTTCTATGGAAATTCACTAGTGACATTTGCTTTATGAATATGTGGAGAATTCTGTCAGACCAGCGACAGTGTGGCCAAAAGCAATCCTAAATATGATGACGCAAGCATAAAAAAAACACAAGAGTGGGACTATCAGAGTTTAAAAAGGCATGTATAAAATGTTTGATGCCTGAACACTCTAGAGTGCCGTACTGGCCCATACGGGGCAGGTGAAAGGACCATGAGCTAAATCAGAAAGCTGGTACTTGAAGCCACTGGAACACTTTACAGCGATGGACAATGAAACTAAAAAAGGTATGTTCAGGTACCCTAAGGAGTGTATTCCGTTAAAAGGCGTTGCTTTCCAATGTCAGTGCATACGGATATCACTTGATCAGCTTAGCATGAATTGTGGCTTTCTGTAATTCAGGATGTAGAGATCCGAGTTCCTGGCTCAAATTGCTTGCAACGGCTATTAAAACAAAAAACCCAACCCCAAACCTTGTCAAAAGGTTCTCAATTTACGCATTTAGTTTAGATTGGTGTGAATCCCTGATGTGGCTTGCGAATGACCACAGAAAGGAGGAAACACCAGGAAATTTCATTGGAGACCCAGACAGATCACAAGAATTATTGGCCAGTGCCCGTGCTCACCTATTGCTGAAATAACAATTTTGGCTTTTGCTGTGACATGGACACAAAAAGGAGGCAGCTCTTTAAAATGTATATTTGAAAGTAAAAAATACCTTAAAACAGGTCTCTGCCAGTAGTATTTGGCAGCCAGTAAGATGGGGATGCCATAATTAAAAACAAAAAAAACATACCTTAAACCAAAAGGGGTATATAAAGATATATATTATAACATTAAAAAAAAATTGGGCCATTGACAGATCGCGTATTAACATTTGATGCATAGTCAATTGCAGGCTGTTTGATGCTAGTGGCAATTTAAGGGTAGTGATAGACTTACAATGTTGTTCTTCAATAACCCAAAATAAAATGTATGGTGTGGAGGAAAATAAAGCCCATCAAAATCACACTCTGGTAAGTTCCTCATGCTTTTAAATCTCATACAAATTAAAAATTTGGTGCACATGCCTGGGGAGTCAACTGGCTTGAAACAAACTCAATGAAGACCTGCAATGCACTATAACCAGAGACAATAGGGCATCTCTGCGTTGACACTGCTAGCCATGTTCACAAGCACTTCCAAATCCATGCTGTGGGTGTGCTGTAGCGCCCAACCCTTGTGTAAAATGACCCCTCACACTGGTATTATATTCCTTTTAATTTATAAAAAGTTTTAGCATCATCTCTAACCGTTAGCCCTCATTCACACTAGAAAAGGCCGGCGCGCACAGATCCGTATCACTCAGCTCCCGGGAAGGACAGGTGCTGCGTGTGATTAGTACGCAGCCCCCGTCCTTCTCTATGGAACTACGGGACGGTACACCCCCCTACGCTCACCCCAAGTGCAGCTCCATACGGGTGTGCGTCTCCTGGCTCGGATGCAGACAGGATCCATCCGGTCAGCGTACAAGTACGGACACCCGCACCCACGTGCAGGGCGCGTGAGCGTAGGGCAGCGTACTTCCATAGAGGACAGGGGCTGCGTACTACCATAGAGGACAGGGGCTGCGTACTAAAATCACACGCAGCACCTGTCCTTCCCGGGAGCGGAGCGATACGGCTGTGCACGCGCCGTCCTTTTCTAGTGTGAATGAGGGCTAACTATATTAAATATTGGTCCGGAGGACAAGGTGAACAATAAGAGTTAATCTTGTGTCCGCTATGTGGCTTTGAGGAATTTCAGATCGAAAGCTGCCAGGAAAAAAAAAAAGCCTCAAAAAGTTTATGATCTCCATACATACAAAAACACTAAACTGCAGACAATACACGCAGAACGTAGGGAGTTTAAGAGACATGGAAGCTGCGTAGGGAACAGCTGCATACATACAAGCTTCACTTACAACCTTCACTTTTTTCTTTTGACTCGCCAAAAAACTAAATTTAGTTAAGTCACACCACTCATATACATCCACAAACAGGACTTCAGTGCTACAAGACTGGAAAAACAGATTGGTCACCTTAACATTACAAAGAAAATGGTGCTTAATTCATCCAAGTAAGACTTATAGGGCAGCTCCACTCGGTTTTCACATTAGACATTGAGAGATCTTGAACAGCATGTACTTGTTAGTGAATGAGTCTTACACTTTTGTGAACACATGTTGACAGATTTCTGCAATTAAAAAAAAAGACACGCTTCTGTTCAATTCAGAGCCAGTAGTCTGAAAATTCGACCCACCCAAAAGCACACCACCTTGCAGCTCGGCCTGCCAAGTGTGAAATCTTTCTCAACACCTTTGTACAGTAAATTCTTTTCAGCTGTCCATTATATAACCATCCTTGTCTTGTAAAGAAAACCCGTAGTGACAAAAACAGAAGCAACCACCGCTGACCTTCTTCTGAAAATACCAACTGCCCGGATGTCTCTGGCTTCAACACTTTTAGTCACTGTTCCAGCCCAACATGCAATACAGTCAACTGCTTGCTCTTGGTCTGTGAGTCAAGAGAACTGAAGCCACTGGGCCAGCACACAGCAAGGCATATAGCTGCAGGTTTCTTTTAAATGTTATAACATTGGTGACAACATTTGCTTTTACTCCACATGAGCCTCAAGGAGTGTCAGTAATATTTTAGGGGTCATGTATGCAGACTTAGACATCCATGTCTTTAGTGCGCACCTAGTTCTGTTCCTTAGAGCTCTGCACTGCTCAATGGGCACCAATCCTTTCAGCGCTGATGTTTTATGGGTCAACGCCAAATGAACGGCAAAAATAACACTTCTTACTGCCTCACAATTACTGCACAGGAAACACACTAAGGACTTAGTTAACCTTGATAAATCAGAGGCTCAAAAGCAAGAGCGCACAGAAAACAATTGTTTTGCATGTGCCCTGTTTACACCACAATGTTGCCTTGACATCGGTAGAAGTGCATTGCCTAAAAAAATTCAGATATGCTCCATTTTTCCATAATGCGCCGCATCTCACCTTAAACTGCCTTCCCTCACTGCTGCAGCACATTGAAATGGCATTTAAAGTGACAATAAAGTCAAAATATTGTTAAGCCTTTTAGATTGTAAGGCCTCACGGGCAGGGCCCTCCTTACCATCTTGTCTTGCGATTGTAATGTCTTCCTTATATTGTAAAGTGCTGCGCAAACTTTTGGCGCTATATAAATCCTGTATAATAATAATAAATAAGCCAATTAAAATGCTGATTGAATCATTTACAAAGAATGCTGCTCCTTGATGTTTAAAAGTGTCAGTTTCCTGCAAAATTCACCTGGTTCCCTGAGGACTGGCCATGATATCCTGTTTTAGGTTGGCTCTTTTCCCTTACAAGGCCCTATGGAGCCACCTTTGTGTGTGCCACTAAACGGTGTCCCCCCACAAACAGGCACAGCAGGGCCAGCCACTCCCCTACTTCTTGCTCCCCGATCCTCCCTTCTGTATGCTAGTAGACGGACAGCAGCTAGAAACGGTGCTGTCCCTTGTGATCTTGTACTGGACAGGAAGTTCAGGAAAGCAGAGTAGAAAGTTAGAACCAACTCTATAGTTTCATTATTTATAAAAAAAAAAAAAAAAAAAAAAAGCTTGAGTTTAATACTACTTTAAATAAAGTTATATTTAAAAAAAAAAGTAAACCGTGCCCCTCCCTACACACTAAAAATGCCTCATTTGAGCATGTGGGCTGGTGTGAGCGAGCCCCAAGGGTCTGTGACAACAAGCTTTTCTTTGCATCAGATGTGTTTTGCATTCCCATCCAAGACTATTGGAATGCAAAACCTATTTGGCACATCTGTCAATTAATTCTGAATGATCTCTGCAACGTCTCAAACTGAAGTCCAAAGCCAGTCAACATATATGCAGTGTTGGCTACTTAGAACGAAGTTGAACACTAAATGGGTGGAGAAGCCTGTGTACATGACCCCGAATATACTTTGTGATTGAGCCCAGTTAGGATACCAGTCTACAGTAATAAGTATTGGTACATTAAAAGAAAAAAAAACAAATTGAACGTCAGTATTAAATTCATGGGTACAAGTAGAATCTGCCCACCACCGTGGCTCATTTGACTCCATTTACACTGAGCAGAACCCATCCGCAGAAAGATATACATGTATGACGATTGCTATACGACTGAGCCAAACCAGTTTATCTTTTACAGGCAATAGAATATTACAAACAGGAAAACGACATGTATACCAGTCAACGGCATAGCGGTCTACACACCACTATTAAATCATTTGAACACAATTTTTTCTTTTTTATTATTTAACGATATTGCAAAATACATGTTCCTGAATGCTGCATGAACAGTAAAAATGAGGTATATCAAAAATAAAAAATAAAAAAAAGAACACTGTACATACATAAATTTGTCAAAAAAATCTTGATAGTAATTTTGTTAATTTAAAGCTATTGCCAAGAATATTAAATATGACGGAATACAGGCTACAGACGTGACCTACGGTGAAGATATTATGTCGCTGGGATGAGTGAAAACACATTTTATGGTTTTTAAGGTAAATCTTCATATTTTTTTATGTGCCTCCAGATTGAAAATTCCATTCCTGAGTCCAACATTTTTTTTGCTTAAGCCTTTAATTGGATTTTTTTCAAAAAATTGATACGACGGGCATCTATTTGTCCCTCTGGATCTTGTAATTAAGAAATCAAACTGACTTCTGAGCAGTGATCTCCCAAATTATGTTTGGCTACCCTGTTCCCGCACCCTCCCCCCTGCCAACTAATTTCAGTTTAAAAATTAGGTACAATCTGAACTATCACAACACTTTAGAGTAAAAAGAAAAAAAAAAAATTGCATTGACAGGGCATAGATTACATAACTCTCATTAACGATTGTGTAGAAACATTTTTGATGGCAGTGTTTTCCAAACAAAAAAAATACACCATGTTTTAAAAGACCTCAAAAACGTGGGGTGGGGGGGCGCAACTTAAATCCTCACCTGAAACTTTGACTATGGGAAGTCTTCACTCGTGTGCTACCTGCTTCGCTTACATCAGATAGCAAAGTTGTGTACCCTGAGAATTCTGCAGTTGAAGTCCTCAACCTGTGATCCACTCCCCCATCAGTGCTAGTGTTAAATGAGATTGGCACCCTGTTGCCAGATTTAAACTGAGAACCAAATGCTTGTGCAAAGTTCTCGATCTGGCACGTCACTTGCGGCCTGATGTGTTTCTGCTGTTCTAAGGAACTGGCCATATCCTGAGGTTGAAGGTGAAAACCTGAAGTCGACTCCAGGCTCTTTTGCTGATCTTTCTGCCCGTTCAATTCCTGAGATGAGATCTGGTAGCTGGAGGAGTTGTTTAATGCTTTCTGCGAGTCCATTTGATCAGCTAACTCTTGGGAAGGAGTCAACTGCTGCTGTGTACCCAGCGATAAGGAAAAACCAGTATGGGGTGCCACCACCATGCCAAAGTTCGACTTTGGTAACGTGGACGGCAATACTGATGTTACAGACTGACTGAAGCCACAATCGAGCGGAGATGTAGTGTAAATATGTTTGTCGGAAAAAAGGGAAGGGCTGGGTAGAGATGAGGCGAGGCTAACGAACTGTAAACTCGGACCCAAAGGGAATGAAGTCGTATGGCTTGTTCTTTCCAAAGCTTGCTGGAGATATTTCGAATACTCCTGAAACATACTGGTTTTATCATTTGGTGTAGACTGAGAATCTGAGCAGGTGTTTTCCTCCTGGACCAAATCATTCTCGTTTGCATTTTGCAGTTCTACATGTTGTTCGCCCATGTTGAAGGTCACATCAGGATGCCCAACTGATTTGTGAGTGTAGTGATCCAAGATACTCTGGAGAACCTCATCGGGAATGACGGATTTGTCATGGGAGTTCTTTATTTCGACATTCAAGGCATGGGAATCAATAAGAGTTAATTGGCCGTCCCCATCCATAACACTGGAAACAGCAGACTGAATGACAGACTGTTGCGCCACCATGTGCCCTACATTCACAGCATAGGCATTGTTGCTGCCAGTGGACTGCAGATATCTTCTCTTCTTCAGGAACTGCATTGCATCATCATAATTGCTACTGGTAGAACCTTTGTTACCTGACGTGTGAAGAAGATTCATGGTGTCTACATTGCCAGTGCTCACCATATCAAGAGGACCATTAGCCTTATCTGAGAGTTTATGGATGGCCATGTGTGCCGATTGGGAAGCCAAGGAGTGGTCATTCTTTTCTGCATGCTTCCGGCCCCCCTTCTTAAACACCAATTTTGGCACTTTGCTGTTCAGATCATCCAAACTAGTGCCGGATGGGCCATTACCGCAAGACACCATTGAACCGTCCACTGCATACGTATGAATGTCAATGCCAGCAGCCAAGTGTGCCTCGTTTAACTTGTTGCCCGATTTAAGGTCCTTGTGGTTGGAACCATTTTTTGACTTTGCTTTCTTTCGACCAGAAAAATGTGAACTTCCCTGAGATAAATCAAAGTTAACAGATAAGTTATCCAAACTTGGGTTTGATGACCCCGGATCCAAGGCTCCTCTGTTTATGGATTCACCACATGTCCTTTTGTGCTTCAGCAACCTATCTGTTCTTGAAAAGTACTGTCAAGATACAAATGACAAAGCAAATTAGGGAGAGGATAAAAAAAACTAAAAAAAAAATCTTCCCTGAAATCATTCACTGTGCAAACACAATGGGCACATTCACACTTCCTTTGCCAAAAGCGAACAGGCACAAATATTGACTGAATGATGTTCCATAGATGTTTGCACTGCATGTAAGCCATTACATACCAGAAAATAATCAAATTAAAGCCCAACTCCAATCGTTTTTTTTTTTAGTTTTGCCTAGAGTGGGGACAAGTGATGAAAATGTGTGTTAGGCTTTTATTTCTCTGCTGCCCTGTGACACCCGTAGAAAAAATGGCAAGAGAAATTGTTACATAGAAAGCAATAAAACCATTGAAAAGGTTTAACCACTCCCCGCTATTAAAGTGTGTTCCTGTCTGTGTCCCCGTTTCAGGGATTTACCATCACTTTCTGTCCAAACAGGGAAATCTCCCCAACAGTGATACAGACAGCCAGCCCCCATTGCATTGGCACTTTGGCAGGCCCCCAGGCCAGCATGGTAAAGATACGAGCTTGTAGATTATGACCACATGCAGACCTTTGTTTATACAACTAGAATTGGCCACTAGGCCACTTAGTGACTATGGTTAAAATTAATAGCATGCAAAAAAAAAATGTGTACCTGCTGACATGTGTCGCACTTGTACGGCTTCTCCCCACTATGAGTCCTCTTGTGTCTCTCCATGTGATACTTCTGGATAAACTTCATGTTGCACTGATCACAATTAAACGGTTTTTCACCTAGGGTACCGAAAATAAATAAGCAAATTTCCAGTTAGATTTGGTTTTATGTCCTCAATGTTCAACCTAAAAACCTCCTGCATTCTCTTTTCACTAGTTCATAAGAGTTGCAAGTACTAATGTGAAAGTGAAGACCGAGAAGCAGCAAAATGGCAAATAAAAAAAGGGACCGGAGGGAGATCGTGTACCGATCTCCCTTTGATCCCGTCACAGAACTATTATGCTGGTCCTGGGCTCACACCGGGCACCGCAGAGCCCAGGACAAGCGTGACAAAGGGGGAGTGATACGACACAGACAGGCAGCTTAAACAAGCAGTCCGCCGGCTATACTTGTATGTTAAAAGGCAGTTTCCCACAAGCGAGTGGGCGGGCCTGGCGGGACGTTTAAATACGCCCGCTCAGATCTACAAAGCTCCCGGCTGGCCGCATTTTTACAATGGCCGGCCAGGAGGGAGGCGGTTAATGTGTAGTAATATGCAAGGCAACTAGCACTTTCAGAAGACGTCCATCGACGGCAGCCTACAAACAGCTCTTAGTACAGGTTTGCTTATTACTAGGAGTCCAAGTTTCGGACAAGACAGACTATGAATCAATTATTTCTGCATAAATTACCAAATATACTTTTGTTATACACATTTTTAGCTATCTGAATAGCAATTCCTAATAGAGATGTTCCCCAATTGATGCAAAGAGGAGTCACTAAAGGACAAAAACTATTCATTTAAAGAAAAATTAAGATTCTAAAGAAAAATAAAAGGGGAGGAAAAGGTCTTCTTTAACGTCTATAAACAAAAAGGAGAACAAAATAAAATTTCACTGAAATTTTTTTAATAAACATAGGCATAGGAGGTGTTAAAGCTGGTTTCAATTTAAGCAACTCTGCAATTCTTCGAACAAGCAACGCCTGCAAACCCGTTATATACATACCACTGTGAATTTTTTCATGTCGTTGTAGCAAATACTTTTGAATGAAACTCATATTGCATTGACTGCACTGAAATGGCCTTTCACCTACAAAAAAAGTATTACAAAGAAAATTTGGTCAGCAACAGATTCTTTGAATTCATTATACAAACCTTTAAAGTATATACAGGAATAATAAAAGTGTTAAAATGCATGTATTCTTGAAGAGAAAATACATTGACATTTCCTTCTAGGCCCCTAATTTAAAAATGAAATGTGGAAAAACTTCACCCGAGTACCAGTCCTAGGTAAACAACCAGTCTCAGTCTGCGCTATATTGTGTACAGCACGTATCACTACCAAGCTGATAAGATAGTCTAGACTTCCTGGTCTTCAGGTCATGTCATCTGTGTTGTAAGCAATTTCCCTCCTCCTCAGTCTGAGCTGCCCAGATTTGTAGGTATTCTATCCCCTGTACATTCAGGGACAGGGAGTTAAAGATAAAACAAGTAATTAAAGTCTAGCCAGAGGCAGCCCAGAGTACTTAAGTATGGCTGCTCCTTAGATTGCGAAAAGTATTGGGACGCCTGCCTTTACACGCACATGAACTTTAATGGCTTCCCAGTCTTAGTCCATAGGGTTCAATATTGAGTTAGCCCACCCTTTGCCGCTATACCAGCTTTAACTCTTCTGGGAAGGCTTTCCACAAGCTTTAGGAGTGTGTCTATGAGAATGTTTGACCGTTCTTCCAGAAGCGCATTTGTGAGGTCAGGTACTGATGTTGGGCGAGAAGGCCTGGCTCGTAGTCTACGCTCTAATTCATCCCAAAGGTGTTCTATCGGGTTGAGGTCCAGACTCTGTGCAGGCCAGTCAAGTTCCTCCACCCCAAACTCGCTCATCCATGTGTTTATGGGCCTTGCTTTGTGCACTGGTGCGCAGTCATGTTGGAACAGGAAGTGGCCATCCCCAAACTGTTCCCATAAAGTTGGGAGCATGAAATTGTCCAAAATGTCTTGGTATGCTGATGTCTTAAGAGTTCCCTTCACTGGAACTAAGGGGCCAAGCCCAACCCCTGAAAAACAACCCCACACCATAATCCCCCCTCCACCAAACTTTACCCTTGGCACAATGCAGTCAGGAAAGTACAGTTCTCCTGGCAACCGCCAACCCCAGACACGCCCATCGGATTGCCAGACAGAGAAGCGTGATTGGTCACTCCAGAGAACACGTCTCCACTTCTCTAGAGTCCAGTGGCGGCGTGCTTTACACCACTGCATCCGACGCTTTGCATTGCACTTGGTGATGTAAGGCTTGGATGCAGCTGCTCGGCCATGGAAACCCATTCCATGAAGCTCTCTACGCACTGTTGTTGTGCCAATCTGAAGGCCACACGAAGTTTGGAGGTGTGTAGCTATTGACTCTGCAGACAGTTGGCGACTTCTGCGCACTGTGCGCTTCAGCATGTGCGGACCCCACTTGGTTGCTGAGTTGCTGTTGTTCCCAGTTGCTTCCACTTTGTTATAATAGCACTAAAAGGTGCCCATACACCTTACAATTATCTGCAGATTTTCTGTGGTCAGATGGAAAAAGTGCAACAGATTGGCCCAGGTGGAGATGACTCCATACACACAGTTAAGTGTAGATGGGGGAATCTGTTGCACCTTTTCCATATGACCACAGAATATCTGCAGATAATTGGAAGGTGTATGGCCAGCTTAATGCTGGCCACAGACCTTAAAACCATTGCAAGATTGGCACCTTAACAGTTGACCGTGGAAAATTTTGTAGCAAGGACATTTCACGGATGGACTTATTGCACAGGTGGCAACCTATCACGGTACCAAGCTTGAATTCACTGAGCTCCTGAGAGCGACCCATTCTTTCACAAATGTTTGTAGAAGTGTCTGCATGCCTAGGTGCTTGATTTTATACACCTGTGGCCATGGAGGTGATTGGAACACCTGAATCCAATGATGTGGAGGGGAGTCTTAATACTTTTTGGCAATATAGTGTATATACATATATTATAACTATATACAATGTACACACACTTACCCAGCCACACTAGCTGTAGTGTTAGAGCTTAAACAGAGGCGTGATGTTCAGGCTAGATGACTCACTGCTCAGGCCGGAGCACTGTCAACATAGTAGAGGTCATGTGCTCTCCCATGGCCTGAAGCTTCGCTCTATTAAGGAAGGGAGCAAGGGAAAGTGGCTGGGTAAGTATACATGGTGGGCTATGCAGACACTAAATGGGCCTGCTTATGTAAAGTCCGTCCCTGTACTATAGAACTGCATGATTGACAGACAAAAACATCCATCATCCATCCATGTTTACAAAAGTAACCAATGCACGATTTAAAATGGACCTTCTTAAAAAAATGGAAGGCCTGCTGCACTTACAGCCGCCAAATACAAATGGCCTAAAAAAAAAAGCCATACATAATTTTGTAATAATGCAACGTCCATTGAGTTGTTGCAGCTGATTGGCTGAAGATGCAGTCTTTCATCTGGCCGCGCTGCTCACACACTGCAAACATCTGCATCTCACAGCTTTGCTTCGCATACAGTGACTCTATATTAGTATAAAGAGACCTAAATCTGGCAGTTTGAAATGAACTGGTTTGGTCTGATCAGTTATTTTCAGGTCCTTTTTTTTATCCCACCTGATCACAAAAGATGCAATGTATACATCCTGCATTGCAAGCATTATTTTAAATTATTATCGGGGTTCCATTTTTACATACAATATAAACTGACAGAGAAAACAAGCAGAAACAAGGCCAGACATGCAGCCACAGATGTCCGATACTTCTTTGTATTGCCATCATCATCTGAAGCAGGTTAAACAATTAACATACCTGTGTGTATGAGGACATGCCTGCGTAGATGATAGGAACTCCTAAAAGCAGCAGTGCAATGTTCACATATATGAGGTTTCTGATTTGGAGACAGATTAGCAGGGTCACCATCAAGACCTAAAGACTGTAGGAAAAAAAGAATAGAGTCAAAAATGAGTTTGGATCCGTACGCTGCCAAAGTAAGACAGCGAATGCTAAAGGAGGTTGAAATGTACATGCAGTGCGGATAGACAGACGTGTGTAAGGCTTGTATACTCCACAGCATAGATCAGTACTGTTGCATTAAAATAATGGAGTTGTACTGGATCAGGTGCCAACAAGTCTAGAATATAACAGATGGGGAGGTAGAAGATTGCAGAGTGGAAACAACCAGAACATGCTAATGTGCGAGGTAGAACAAGTCTCCCCACCCCTCCCTAAGTGGACCGAAACTAAAAGAAGAAGTGAAGACTTGCCATCCTATTAGGAAGCATTTAGAAATCTTATTTGTGCCAAAGAAGCGCCCTTAAAAATTCACCTTTTGTCTTGAATGCCTAGCAATGCACTTCCTGTAATCCTACAGTGTGAGACCTATAGGCACTGCTGCCCCTGACTACTAGTATCAGGAGATCTGGAGTGAGATTTGGTGAGGTCACTCCTGTGCTGCTCATCCTTGCTGGAGACAAAGCTGAACCTGAGGGACTGCAGAGCAAAGATCTCGCTGCTTCTGATTGATTCCATGACTCAGATTTTTTTTCTGACCCTCGCATGTGGCTGTGTGATTATTTTTCTATCAGTCATCAGGGAGACATTTTTGGCATTCGGAAGCAACAGAAAAAAAAAAAACCCTCACACCTCTACCAAGATGGCCGCTTCCGCTCAAACTGTGGAACACAGAATGGTCATTTCAAAAGTCAGTAATAATAAATAGATCAGCTGTAGTGACCTCAGATGGTTGCTTTTTATGTGCGCGGCTTCCAAAGGCAAGCCACTTTTAAAGAGAAATTACATTGCACATATATAGTGAGCTATGGTGTTGTTGTTTTTTTTTACGCATCTGCGTTTTTATATTTTCATTTTTGTATTAATACATGATTTGTGACGTAGACAATTGAGGATATATATCATGCTTTCTTTATTAGATAAAAGCATGGAGGAGGCAGCATTTTTAGACAGACCTGCCCTGTACACTTACAATAAGAGACCAGCCTGCATATAAAGTGAACAAATATGGCTGCCCTCATGTACCTATAGGTATACAACAAAGAGGTTGTTATTTAGTTTACCTTAAAGATTTTTTTTCCCTGTTAAACCACAGGTATAGGCCAATCGTCATGAAGTATGCAGTTTGCCACATACACAAAACTCCTAAATGTGAAAAATAATTCCAAAATGGACACGTGTACTGAGTGAAAAGAGGATCTCCCAATGTTCATGTTATTTGATTGACTGACTATCAGCTACAGGCTGTTTACCACTCACAATACACTCCAATTGTACAATCTTCTTTAGATCTACCAACAAATATGTAATACAAGGGCCTGCCTGATTGGATACGAGTTGTCTGGATAGTTTAGGTTGGTCCTCATATTACATAATGCTGGTAAATCTTAAATTGATTGTACAAAGACTGCGGGATCAGATTGTAATATGTAGGGCAACCCTTGCTTTTTAGAGACATGCCCAATGTTCAGATAGTCGAAAGATGACCGACAACAACAAAGGTGACCCAACTTCTCAGAATTACCTCTGGGAAGAGCTGAGTGTAGATGGCAATATATTTTCTAAGGAAACCCATTACTGTTCACAATATATTCTGAGAAAGACATATGGCTGCTCGCAGAGCAAGCATTTGTGCGGCTGCTACAAGCTGCACTTCCACAATTTTAAAAGGGGTTTTGTAGTTTCACTTGTTCAAAGAAAGATGAAAACCTCAACTAGCACCCTACACATGACAGCAATCATATTTCAATCTTCACAGGTTCACTGTACTGGGTAACATCTTTATAAACTTTTCTGGGTAAGCAGATATTCTAAGCCATGGCAGCAAAATCATCAACTGTGTATATGGTATTCATTACTCAACCTGTTTCCTTATGTTTGTAAAGTTTTTAAAATGGCGTTCAAAGAACGCTCAAATTCCATTTGTTGGCCACGTGGGGACTTGAAAAATGATTTAATCCCGTGCTTATAGCTAACTAAAGCCATTTGTAGATGGACCTCAATTCGCGAAGCAGTAGGCCACGGGATGTACATTAAATGGACAGACCTAATTAAACAAATGACACCCCTAATACCATTTTAACATTGAATATAATGTCCTGTTAAACAGTACCAAATATTTCATAAAAAGGAGGACTTATGACTTTAAAATGCTGTTCTTCCCTACTGCGAGCCCAATACCCCTACATTGTACATGAGGATGCCAAGGGAACACCCACAACCCTAAAAATTAGGGGGGAGAGTAGCGAGCTGGAACCAAAGATAAGGTGGGTTCTCCTTGTGCTTGTTGGGTTTCCTCTCACAGTCCAAAGACATGCTGGAAGGATAATTGGCTCCTATCAAAATCAGCCCTGTATGTGTGCATGTGACATAGGGACCTTAGATTGTAGGCTCATTGAGGGCAGGGACTGATGTGAATGTGCAACTATGGAAAATGTTGGAGCTATAGAAATACTAGGGATGCACCGATGCTGAGTAATGGGCGAGTACTCTTAGGCAATAAACATCTGACAGTGGTTCTAAACATTCACCAATACATCCAAATCAAAAAAAATTCTTGACTTAATTTAGGAAAACTCCAGCCTTTTACTCCTTTACATTTATGTAAACTTTATATTGCCTGGTCTAATTCAGAATCTAACATTTTCTGATTCTGCTGCTAAGTGGATGGTCCCATTGACAATTCATTGAGATGTCTTCACAAGATAACTGGTCTATCACAAACAATACAGTGAGAATGATGGTAGCAGCTATAGAAGGGTATTAAAAAGGCCAAAAGAAATATTAAAAATAACTTAAAGAACGAAGAAAGAATGAAGAAAATATAAGGAGGTGGTGAAAAATGTAAACCTGAGCTTTAAATCTGAACGCCAGGCAAATATTAAGAACAGCCTTTTATCCAGTTATAGATTTAATTCAGTTTAACCATACATCAGTTTATACCATATCTGTAAGAGCACCTTATAGATTTCTTTATTTTAGCTTCCTGGAATCCCCTACTCGGCAGCTCTTAAACTGGGAGAGGGAGAGTCAGCAGTCTGAGCCAAAATGGGCTCTCGTACTATAAAACGGAGTACAAGCTTAAAGAAGTTGTACCCTTTTAGACAAAGTGCACTTATTCTTTTTGCCCCCTTCCCCCTGAGCTACATGATCCACCCTTGCCCCCCGCAGATCTATAATTATCGAGATCAGAGGACCATTGCACCACTGTTTATTGACATCCAGCACTGCAAGCCTCCCTCAATTGGCCACCTCTGTCTTACGCCTGGAAGCCAGCCCCATAGAAGTCTATTAGGCTGAAGGGTGGAATCAATTAGGTCCGGGATGGGGGGCAAAAAGGATAAGTGCACTGAGTTTTCAAGTTCACTTATTCTGTAAAGGAGGCAAAAGTACAGAGATACAGAGATCTCCACAATGTGCTGCAGTTCCATTATCAATTCAGCAGGCTTGGGAGAGGGCGAGAGATGACTAAAGGTGTCCATACACTGTGCAAATTTTGTTAGGCTTAAGGAACCGACCATAAATTTGCACAGCGTGTGCCGCTGTCAGCACCCTTTCAGCCGATGTCCCTTGATCAGCTATCTAAGGAGCTGGTCGGAAAATCTTTGTACGACCAGAGCCGGTTGCTGTCAGAATACAATGCAAATAGCGGTGATTCCTCGATTGGCACACCCGTAGTGTTGACGGAGGAGTCTGCTCTATTTTTCCGTTCAGGAAAAATAGAGCCGTGTATGGCCACCATATGGCAGCAGAACTTTAGGAGCCATTCTGGCCAGTAGTCACCAGATGGGTTGGTATCATTAACAGAAGGCTTTTGAACTGTGCCCAGAGGTTGCCTACGGCTCTAAGAAAAAGATAGGACAATATGCGTGGGTATTGCTTTGAGACTGTGCAATTATATTTGCCTGGAGTTCTACGTTAAGTCTCAGGTGGTGACATTTGCCATGACCATAGTGCCAGGAGAAAGTGAACCAGAGAATGCCCCCGAGCACAGGAATGCTCTTACTTTAGAGGAGTCACTCCGCCTGCGTTTGGATTTTGCTTCCTGAGCTTCTGAGCCTGAACGCCTGCTCTTCTTCATGGATGGAGTTTGTTTTGGATCGAAGCCATTTCTTTCAGTTCTTATTAACAGCTGTGAGAAAACAGGTGGACGATAAGCTTTAACATTCGTACAGACTCGGCTTTCTGAGATATATATTATAAGGCCAATTTTTGTTAATTACAAGAACATAAAAGGGAGAACATCAAGAACTCACACTGGCTGAAAATAAAACCAGCAATGCATGTGAATTATCAATACACATCATCCCGAGAGATATACACATTATCAGTAAAGCAAGAAACTGTCTACCTGCCAGAATTCTGGAATAACCCCCAACAGGGTTAAAATCATTTTAGATAAGTTAAACTGGCCATATACCTTACAACCATCGCACGACTTTCGTTGTGCTATGGTTGTAAGGTAATCAAAGTCTCGTACGATCTGCCCATCTTGGACAGGCAGATCGTACTTGTGATCATCGCAAGCCCTCCCCGCTGAGGGTAGGGCTTCAGATGATTCTAATGCTGAGCGGGCAGTGCGAGCTTGCACGCACCGGCCCGTTCGGCATTTGTCTTCCGAGCACGCCACTAACCACTTCGGCAGGCTTTCAAGCGTGCTCGGAAGACAAAAGACGTGCGACCGTACAGTAGAAACGGTCGCACACACCTTCCATACACCTGCCGATTATCGTACGATCGCGGGATCACCAGCGAATATCGTACCATAATCGGCAGGTGTATGGGCACCTTAACACACAAAGTCGGACACAGCTCTGCGCATAACAATCCAACATTTACAACTCACATAGCCAATGTTGGGCTTATGCATGGAAACCGTGCTCAAGAAAACAATTTGGTTGATCAAAGCAAGCAATCAGCTTTTAACCGTTTCTATAGTCGAAAACAGTTAAACGAGTATTGTGATTGGCTGTGATTATCGGCACTGAGGACTTTTCATATGTACACCCTGTTGTAGACAAGACCCCGTATGTTAACAATTATGTCTGGTGCTCAAATTTCAAAAGTTGTACCAACATTAAAGAAGTGCGTCACTAAATACTATATGCATTTCAAGTAATTACATATTGAATAGACACACACACACACGAAAAAAAGAAACTTGTCTTGTGTTGGACACACTTCTACTTAAAGTAAAATCCTGCCCTTTTTGTTCAGAAACAGAAATAATGAATACTTCCCATGTTTTCCTTTAAATCAGCTGTAGATATACTATATTTATCTAAGAAACCTTTTATAATGCATCCAAAGCTGGCCATACAATATATAATCTTAAGCTCTCCACAGGTTGCAATCTATACAATCTCCTTTAGATCTACCAACAAGTATGTAGCACAAGAGCCTGTCTGATTAGACATGAATTGACTGGATAGATGAAGTAGGTCTTCATGTTGCATAGCTTTGGTAGATCTTATACAGTGGTAGATAATATACAGTGAGCCTAAGATCCATCACCAACTATTTAATGCCTGCATGATTTGACACAAATTGAATGGAATGCTTAGGTTGGTCCTCATTAGGGATGCACGGATATATCAGCCGCCGAAACATATCGGCCGAAAATGGCACTTTTGGCAAAATGATGAAAGTGCAATTTTCTGGCCGATATATAGCGGTGCATCCGTTCTCTCTCCTCCCCGCTGGGCGCTGCTCTGTGTCCCAGCTGGGAGGAGAGAAACTGTCACAGGCGGCCGAGCGCTGTGAGCGGCCGGCGTCTCTCCTCACCGCTCAGCCTCCTGTCACAGATCGGGAGATCGGTGTGGCCGGAGACAGCTTGCAGTGTTGTCACAGGAGGATGAGCTCCGCTCGCGCAGACTCCTGTGACTGCTGTCAGGAAGGAGAGCGAGTACGTATACTCAGCAATCACGGAGTGTTTGTAAATAAATTGGAGGACATAGTATGTTTATTTATTCTTATGTTATATATCCTCAATTATGAATGAATGGGAAGTGATCTACATCACTTCCTGTTCATTCATGGTTGTGGATATAGTAAACACACTATGTTCTCATGTTATGAATGAAAAGGAACACTCAGTATAGATGATTTCTGTTCATTTATAACAGGGGCTGCAGAAAAAGAGATTGAGGACACAGAGTGCTCAAACTCTTTCTGTTTTAAAAGGGAAATATCAGGAGGTCTGTTTAGAGCCTTAATATTTCCCCAAAGCCACTAAAAAGTTAAAAAAAAAATATTAAAAAAAAATGAATAAATACAAAATATAAAAAAAATTAAAAAGTTTATACAAAATAAAATATTTAAAACAAATTTGAAAAAGTTAAAATAAAAAACATTTTTCGTTTCGGCCTGACTTTTTTCATTTTGGTTTGGAAATGTTCATTTCGGTGCACCTCTAGTCCTCATATTACTTCGTTTTGTGAGATCTGAAGGAACTTGTACAATGATTGTATGGTGCATAGCCAACTTAACATTCTCAGATTCTGCTGCAAAGTGGGTAGGACTTTTGACAATTTGAGATTTTATCACAAGGAAGGCATAGAAGTGGCAAGGGGAATAAGAGAGTGACTATGCTACATGGCTGTACAGATTACTATTCGCTAAGGAGGTTAAGGAGCTGCAGTGATTGGGTCCCTGAAGAACATGCATAGTTTTCTGCATGGTGGTGGAGGTACAAGACAAGAAAGTAGCCATGACAGTAGGGCACAAGGGAGGGTCTGTGGGTATTGGCTAAAAATGGTGTACACATGGCCCACAGGTATAGAGAGATCTTAATCTTTTTATAGAAACATGGCAGAGCTTTAGAACAGGACAATCATCCCAGAAAGAAGCCTTCACTGTGAAATGGTTGCGAAGGGTGATGGTTGCATCAGTTATGGATCTAATAGGGCCTGATTGCCTCAAATGATCCCAGCTGTTGCTTGTTGGAGGTGGAATTGTTTTATTTACTGTCCATTGTTCTTATGCTTGTGCCAAATGAGAAAAAAAAAAAGTCACTCTGTTGTCAAGAATATTCAAAAGACATCACAAATGAATTCCCTTCCGGCAGACATTTGGAGTATGGCCCCATTCAACCCTAAGGAGGGTAATTGCGCAGGCAGTACTGAAGACTTCAGACCAAAAAGAGAAGTCCATACCCATGTAATGCTGGAATACGGTACCTTGAGGCTCTATATGGGATTTGTCAAACCCTACTTTGGGCAATTACCTCAAGAAGGACCCTGTCAGATGGAAGAGGAAATATTTCCTATAGGAGGAGGACCATGACTTTCAATATCCTGCAGTCATTTAGAATAAATGCACAGCACCACAGTGAGATAGTGTGAACGGGTCCCTTTAATGTAACATTAAGAGCCTATTCGAACCTATTTGTCACTTTTATTGCATAGTAGCATGCGATTAATGCGCACAATCGTGCATTGCCATTCATTTGAATAGCACCCCAATGCACATGTGGTACCGCAATACCATGCGTTATGGTGGTGGAAAAATGTCATTCATGCATGCTGTAACAGATGTTATAGAAATGTGCTTTATTCATCAGTTATTACTTTAGCCTATTGTTATGTCTTCATCTGGTGTATAACATATGAAGGGTTCACTTTAAACCAATGCACCCTTTAAAGCCAGACAACAGACCACCCACCACAATGCAGCATGCATTTTTAATGCAAGTTTCTTTTACAAAAGGAACATACCATCACATAAGAGAAGTGATCCTTATTCTATATAACCCTCCAAAACAAAGACAATGACAGCCCTTGTGCTATACCGCTGAGATAGCCTGAAACAAAATAACCCTTCGTATCTTCCAACTCCAAAAATGAGAAACATTTTAGTGCATCTCGCCCATCTCTTTTCATTCACGGTTAAGAAGACAACATACGGCTACATCACAGCCTCAAAAGCTGTAAAAAGCACAGTGGGAGACTGCCAACTGTTTTGGATCTGATTGAAGAAAAGATTTATTGATTGAACAATGCTTTGGAACATTACAAAGGGCTGCTCTGAGATAACCATTCAGCCTATTGTTTGTGCTGCCTAAAGCTTCGAGAGATGTGTGAATGGCAATTTACATTAGCTGAAGACATCCAATGTCTGTGGCTTCCAGTATTTCTGAGGTTGTGACACCTGCCACGCGAACAAACTTTCTACGACAGACCATTGTTATATTATTTTACCACAAAGACGGGAATTAAAAAAATCCAGACAAATCCCAGCAGCCAGACAGGAAATATGCCTAAAATGTTACAGCTGACGGCTAACTTTGTTTGGTACTCTGCTGGTATCAGTGGAAACATATGATCCTGTGTGCGCGTATAAATGTCCGTGCGTATGTATGCATGTCCGTGCGTATATGTGTGTGATATATATATATATACACACACACACACACACACATATATCAGGAAGCCAGCCAGCACGTCATTACACGCCGTTCCCGGCTTCCTGATTGGCCCAGGAAGCCGGCTCCATGCTCCCTCGTCACTTGGCAGTGCATTGCGTTTTTGCCACGTTTGGATTTTTTGGGTCCTGCTTAAAATGATCCTGCAGGTGCGATCAAGTGCGTTTGAATGCATTGATGTGTTTATGCATTCCAGACCAAATAGGACAAGCAGTATTTTTCTGGTCTAGAACGGACTGCGCTGGTGGGAACAGAGGACAGAAATAGCATAGGGATACATTAAGATGCATTTTGGGTCTGGAAACAGTCTGGTCTGGAGATGATCCGGACACGGTGTGAATGGGCCCTAAAACTGTCACATGACCAAACAATTGCTATGATGCAAAGCTACCTGCTACAGGCACAAAGTGACCACCAACAATTCTTTAACAAACACGCACATCTGAATAGGCTAAATGCCTCAGCAGTCACCAGATACCCCAACACAAGCCTATCTTGGGAAAAGAGCAAGTGCCTGGGAAGGCCTAACTGACTCCCCCCAAGAAAAAGACAACCAGGCATTACAAATCTTGTATAAAAGGAACATTTTGGTTATCACTAGATGCCTATTGCTGACCAATCTTGTTTATGTAGTAGTGGGGAGACTGAAGGATTGTTTGAGCTTCCCAGCCAATAGCTCCTAACCTAACAATACAACCATTAAGAAATAT